GGTTCGCCCCCACTTTCTTTCCCCCCCCCCCCCCTTTCTCTGGCAGCTGTTTCACTTTCATTGTGAGGGATGAGGTCGATCAGCTGACCCCTTTGAGGTTTCTGGTAGGTGATCAGCTGATACCTTGGATGTTTCTAGAAAGTGGTCAGCTGACCTCTTTGGAAGTCTCTGGAAGGGTTAAGAGGTCTATCTAAAGGGGCTTCTACCTACTGTATCTAGGTTGCCAGTTGGCAAAAAGCACCTTCTGTGAGCTCTCCTCCCTCCCGCACGCCCGTCACAGCCATTATTACGTGGTTGGTCACCTTTAAATTTTAAAGGGGTAGAGTTATGTTTTTATGACATTATTGGTTTTTATTTGGAGACTGGGCTGGATCGGTTGTGTATATTATAAGTTTGTTGGTCAATATTTTATTATTTATGTTCTGGTATAGCTATATCTTTTAATAAATTATTTATTTAAACCAGTAATAAAGGGACGCAGCCCAAATTTCTATCCATTCATGGTTGTCCGTGTCTTTATTCTTTATTGTTTGTTTGCCATGCTGTCTACAATCCCATGCATCTTATTATATCTTCTCTATAGGTGGTGAATATTACTGGTGTGGCAGTGGGGGCGGGGCTTGCTGGAGCATGTGACACACTGATATCGCAGGTAATTTACACGGCGCAGTGCTAATAGTGTTTGGGTCCTGGTCACATGTGACAGACCTGAAGAGAAGGGAGATCAGATTACACACACTGCTAAGACACTGACAGGGGAGGAACACTCCCCACATCTTCTCTCATAGCGCAGTTAAGCCATACTGCATACTGTACATGCACTCTGTATTAGATGGTAGTATTATAAACATGTTATGTACATCATTAAAATACAGATACTGTTAATCTTGCATGCAGAACCCTGCAGGTATTATGTAACTGTTCTGTTACGTTGTGTGAACACAGCTAGTTTGGTTCCTCTGTCTCCATTCTTCAGTGAGGGCTGTCCTTATTGATCAGTTAGGTTTATTTCAGAGCTATGGAGGACGCAACCTGAAACTGGTCGGAACCATCCTGCAAAGAGGAATTCTCATCCTGCTACTCTTCTGCTTTCCATGCTGGGCTCTATTCTTGAACACCGAACCCATCCTGCTTCTCTTCCGGCAAAACCCTGACGTGTCCAGGTGGGCTCTCTATGAAAGGGAATGAGCAACAGTTTAGCAATGGCAGACCTCATGTTCCTCTATTCCTACAAGTTTCCTTTAACCACTTCCAGCGGGTTCACATAAATACACATCATCCGCTGGAAGTGGTTATACCAAGAACACGGCTGCCGCTGCAGCGCTGTGCCTACCATTTTACACACCCCCGGTGCCGCCCCCGGGTCCCCGG